TTAAGCTGAGAGGGTAAAGTGGCCCTGGTGGCGTAACGGATAGCGCACTCGCCCGGAAAGCGTGAGGTGCGGGTTCAACTCCCGCTGCCCGACTTCTGCCCACAACTTAGCATTCTTGTGGTTCAAGTTAAGTTCAGTTCGTTGATGTCGAGCAACCACTAGATCTAGATCTTTTACTTTAGAGCCTCTCTCGTGATTCAGCTTTGAGTAAAAGAAAGAAATATGTGCTGGCTCGCTAAAGCGGAAAAATTGCTGCCACTCTGAGAATCGTGGGTTAGCCATGTAAATCTTTCGGGTTTCCCATAATTTGTATATAATGGTGCATTGCAGAGAGACACAAATAGCACAGCAGGGTCTTGAGCGCACTGCTTGCTGTGTAACATTGTTTCTATTTCTAATACGATCTAGTTTGTGGACCTCCTTGCGATGGATATCAATACCTTCACGGGATATTTAGATTCTTCGATCCTGTTCGAGAACGATTTGCCTCCAGTCAAGCTTCATTGATAGCCGCAGCTTTTCCCAGTAGCAAGAAGGGAAAGAAATAACGAAACCTAATTTGCTAATTGAAGTGTTCGACTGCGCTTATTTAATCACGTTCTAACGTATTGTCGGTTCTTCTATGTACCACACTGGGCGCACTTCAGCAACAGGAGAGTGGGGGGGGCGGCATTTTGCACTTTCGCTGCTTCCCTTTGCTGTTTCGCACCACCGAATGTCGCTCTTCAAGGTCAGAGTGAAGCCCTGAGGTGATGCCAGTCAAAGTTTGGAAAGTGGAGCATTGAACAAATCAAGGGGAAGTAGCGGAATTACAGAGTAATTCCCTCCCCCCCTCAAGCCGAACGGCGCCCCAAATTGTGCTGTGACGCACGAGTTCTTTTTTTCCAATAGTCATGGTGTTAGGTGAACTCAAAGGAATTCCTGTGATTGGTTGTTTCATAAGTTGTTGCTTGTTTCTGAATCTTCTTATTTATTATACAAGTGGAATTAACTGGAATCAGAATTGAAAACGATCTATCGGTGCTTGTTAATTTTTACGCTCTATGTCATTGTTATTCAAAGCTATTACATTTGTTGTTCTTGTTGGGAATTAATTTTTTTCTTGAATTTTCGAATATGAATTGATATGAGATGATTGGTCTTCACGATGTTATGTGGATGTTCCATTGTAAACCGTCATCAGCAGTAGACCACGAACTTGGAAGTTTTAGCGATTTTTGTAGCTTGATTCAATAGCTACAGTACAGAGCTTTGCCCACACACTGGCCCTACCGTTGATGATCTTGCAAAGAAAAAAAAATCGAGCCTCCTTAAATGGCAGATAAGTCAATAAGCATGACTTGCGATGAGGTGCGGACGACATCCAAAGCTACTGGACTGTTCATTATGGGGGGGGGCTCGTCCATGGTGGTGAACTGGAGGGACCTTTAGACAGGACGCAAAGCATAGAAAGCATCCCGGTGAGTCAAAACATACTGCAGTTAAATGCGGACGTCCGAAACGCGTCTGCTGTTGTGCCCCTCATTAGGTTCCGCTCATACTTTGCGATGGGAGATTAGTAGACCTAGCGTTTTGGAAGAACTAGGTTCTTACAAAAAAAAATCGAACCATTAGCGACGTGGGTTGACTGATACCACTCCTTTGGCGCGCCAAGACGTTGAATCGCCAACTCTCCCGTCGCAGAATGTGAGCGCACCCTTACAACGCCACATGGACAAGTGTACCATCCGTTGTTAGAAAGTGAAGGTTGATTTTATAGGCGAGGAAAATGGGAGTGACTTGTTTCCTAAACAAAATTATTTGTAATTGTAACTGAGCAACGCAGTGAGCACTATAATCCCAGAGGGCACAATTATTGTTGTCCCCCAACAATAGAGACCGTGATGGGAGACGGACAAGACCATCATAGTTTCTCACATTGCCGCACACGGCGTATCGTGTAGCAACGCGCGGCAAACTCTCGATGAGCATAAGTCTGTGGTTGAAGGGTTCAGCGAAGTTCGTATGGAACTAAGCAGGGACAAGGTAGTGTGAAGCGGTATCAAATTCCCCCACCTCTTCGTCAGTCAAATGCAAACGACCAAGCAAGACAATTCGACCACAGGGCACATCCACTAGTGGGGCAGACGACTCCAGTGGTATGGCCACATCCTATGCCTTGTAACGTCGCTACCACTGCACATCAGTTTGAAGTGGGTGGCCCAGAGTAACGCCTGGACAACGCTGATCGACTCCCGCATGAAAGCCATCCACGATTGGACTAGACGCACTAGGTCGCACTAGATCAATGCAGGGATCATCGGCCCAAACATGGTTCAGTGGAACAACCTTTGGGAAGAGAAGAAGACAAGAGTTTCAGACATATCCTTTTTGTTGCTGTTACCATCACCCTCTAATCTGTGTACTTTTATTGGCTTTGTATTACTGTAACTGATCGTAGAGCTCCGCTGCCACGTGATAGTTCAACATCCTATCGCTCAATCCAGACAATCGAATCGCAAAGTATGAACGCGCCCACAGCCACCAATGAAGGAGTATCACGTGCGATTGGCGGAGTTACTTCGGCAACATCAGCTCTTATTCCCCCTGCCTTTCGAGGCACTACTGCAAAATCATCAAAGATCATGGCTGAAAAATTCAGGAAAACGTGCCCATTCAGCCCATTGTGAACATCGATTAGAACTGGACTCACACTTGCAATTAGACAAGAGGAGCATAAAAAAATTATCCGTTCAGTTACATAGTTAAAACTGGTTAATAATCACTGAGGGCAATAAAGCATACGACGCCGCGGTTCAATGCTAAGGAACCACAATGCCATACCACGAAAAATGAGCGGCAAAACTCAGCAAAACAGTTACAAGGATGGTCGAAATTACACTTCGGTTATTGGCAATTGATGAAATTGTCATCTTATAGAAAATCGACACAGCACAGGAGATCAATTGGTTCTAGAAAGTATAAACCGCTTTGATGATATTGAATCGGTAAAGGGAATGGCACATCTACTAAGTTCGTACTGCTTAAATCAAATTCCTTGTCTATTTACAGATGTTTCAGGAACTCCATTATAGCATCCAATTTATACACTTCTTCTTGCGAAAGCTTTCGATAGTAGTGATCGCGCCTATCTCGGAGATCTCTCAATTCCTGCAAGGTACATTTTTTGACATTTCAGGAAGGGATATGTTCTGACGCTATTCGGCTATGACAACCCTAAGGCATTCAAAAATTGCTAAAACCTAGACTACAGGGGCTGTTCGGTGAAATAGTCACGACTTTTAAGGCAATCTCTCGCTCGCTAGCTTTAAGGCGCCATTTGGTGTTTATGATAGCCCTGCCTACAAGCACAGAGCATGCACTAGTTTCGCATTTCAGAAATACGTGAGAAAAACGCCGCCCTCGCTCACGAGAAAACCACGACTTCGCCCACTCCACGGCAACGTCCAACTTTCATTTTTGAGTGCTACCTGATGGTGCGTATGGTGAGAGTGAGGTGAGAAGGAGAAAGAGCTGGCACCAACAAGTGAAAACTCGTCCGATCACGCCCACCCTTCGTCTTATGCACGTACAAGCGCGGTTCTGCATAGGATTCTATATGGCATATTTCAAGCGGGTTTAAGTGTTTTTTCGCGCACTTCTTGTCGCTTACCACCGTTGCCTTAGTATATGAGCCGTAAAAATAAAATTTTTCTTACCCGCTCTCCGCATTAAGAGATCTTCTTCTGCGACCTAAAAGAATCACTAAAGCAACGATGACCTCTGTAGACAGGGTTTCAGCAATTTTTCCAAGATTTGGGTTGCCATGATCTAATAGTGCCAAATTATTTTATTATCACCTGGATACAACTCTCAGCTTTCTTCTTTCTCTCTTCGGCAGCAACATCCACTCCAATGGAACTGATCGGCCCTCGAGCGCAGTTCGCAGTGAATCTATTAGACCAGTAGCGACAATTGCAGAGACGACAAGGACTTGGCGCACGATTCGCAGGCAGAGGTGTCCTCGCAGAAATTCTGAAAGTCCTGAGCTAACACCAGAAGCTATCAACCATTCACGAGGCAGAAAATCAATTTTATAGAGAAGGACCCTTCCCTTCGGACATGACTGAATTTGTGCTTTTACAGCTGAACCCTGATATCCCTTCTTACTAAAGGATGAATGCAAAAGTAAAGGTTAATCTGAGTTGAACAACTATTTATACAATGCACCGCGCAACCAACTTCACAAGAGGTCTTGTGGACTGGATATTTTTTGGGATTCTACAGAACTCATGAAAGGTTTCGCTCAGGGACGCTTACCTTAGTTCCAGGTTCAAAGCAAGCAAATGGAGTATGTTAGCCCTGCATGAGGAGACTGGGTCATTTCTTCGTTCACGACAAGCGCAGCCTTAGGAATCTAACGAAATTGGGCTCAACTGCGGTGTCCCATCCTCTTACGCTTGCAAACGTCCCCATCAATCGGAATTAGGAGTGGCAGGACTGTGTTTTCTCACAAGTTGAGCCTGGTTAAGAAATTTTCGTAAGAATCCAGAAAACAGGAAGTAATAAGCCGTAAAGTAGCGTCTACTGCTCAGAAAAAGAAAGAAACTTCGGATGCCACAAACTGCACACAGACCACTTATGGGAATATATTCATTTGGTTGTTTTCGCTTCTTTATGTGGATTATTCGATTCAACACAATCAGAAGGCGCATAAGGTCACAGACCCTCGAGAACCAAGCCCCTCAACTTCAGCGATTTACATAACACGATCGATTCCAAACCGTGTAAAATATAAGCGTTATATCTATGCAGCGTGATGAAACCATTTGCAGCCCATTAGAAGCGTCTATTCTGCTTTCTATTGTGAAGGCTTCAAATTTGCAAGGCAAATATCAATGAAAACTTCCCAGGTGCTTCTCACTTCCATGACCGCAAGTAAAAAACGCACTAAACAGTACATCCTACCAACAGTGGTCGGTTCAAGGAGAAAACGTCACAGTAGACTCATTTTATGCCCCTTGACACCATCCCAACTGTTTCCGCCGTTATCAACAGTTGCAGCATTACTAAGTCCAATAAGACAAACACCTACCTTTAAGCTTCGGCAAGTACATGCTGCATATGTTGATATCCCAACGTGCCGTTTCGTTAAACATTCGCAACATTACTGTAACTGCCGACGAATCAGCGAAGAGGCCATCTTTAAGCATAGAGGAGAGACCCCCATGCTTCAGAGATCCTACCAAGTGATCCACTCCTGGAACATGAATATGTGATGCTCAAAAACTGACAGATTCTAGAAGTTTGACCTCCACAGGCTCATTGATCTTTTCACTTGTCTCCATTCTTTAAAATTTCGAAGGAATCATAGAAAGTGTCCAAGCATAAGATATTTCCATTCCAGGGCACGGCGTTTCAGCTTTTAGCGGTTACATGATTCTCGGTCACAGCTCAACGTCTTTTGTACCATAGACTTGAAATCGACGTAGCCTGTGGACAGTGAGGCTGAAGGTTTATTCATCCAAGCACCTCACTTTTTTTTCAGAGCCACTGACGTTATACAAAAACATCTTTACTGGGTGAGGTGCGAGAAGAAAACTAATCATTTATTTGTTTTCCACCGAGTCCGTGTCTGGTGGCAGTTTTACATTTATTGATGTTGTTTTACTATAACAATTGCTGTTTAGCGCCGCAGTTCGTGCTTCGAAAGTTAGCACAAGAATGCTGACTTATGATAAATTATGGGCACGACAGCCGAAATGCCATGAGCTGACAGTATCCCTGCACACCTGATGTTTCCCACTAGGGACCCATTACCGCGACGAATCTTAAATTTATTGATCTGCTTGTTTTGAACATATCCTTCTATTGTGTAAGAGCGAGCGTGAGAGAAACGATCCTTCTATTGTGTAAGAGCGAGCGTGAGAGAAACGCTGACGCAAACCAACCATACAATGTCAAGCTTTTCACTAACCCTGAA